AACTAACTTATTGAAAGCGTGACAGTTCATACACTTCACACTCTCCGCTGCTTTAAACGAGAGTACTATCACTACATAGTAGTTTAGTTCCACTGCGATGTAAACTTATCTTACTATTGARCTTTTTTTCATGCTTGTAGTTTGGGGTGATCAAGTCCAAACGTTTAACACAAAGCTCCTTATTGAYTAAGTTCCCCTGATGGCAAACCGTACACTTCCATCAGTTATCCAGTGGATACCGGGTGTTTGAACACCGTCTAAATACTAAGGCATACTTTTGTTGATACTACTGTGTCTTTTCTTTTCTTTGATAAATGTCGCTTAAATTTCTTCTTATATAATGTCAATTCGAATGATTAGAAACCGAAGCTAATCAATGTCCAATCAGTATCATAGTTAACAACAATGCTTAAAAATACTAAATGTTCTTATAAGTGAGTTCAGTAGTTTGTCGTAATTCCATACGGACGATGGGGTGGAGCAATCCATGGGTTGTAGATTGTCATTCTACCACAGTATGGAGTTGGCTGAGTCAACTGGGGGTAAAACGTCTGAAACGGCTGATATGGCTGAGGTGTTAGTCTGGCTGATAAGGTACCGGTGCCTGATACGACTGCATGTTGCATGGACCATTGTATGGATTGGTACTGTGCAACAACACATCATACCCATACCTTGCGGGTTGTCTTCTTTCACGTGTCGGGTATCTAGGCTCTTGATGGGGCTCTTGAACTGTATCCTCATGTRATCCATCTGTATCATCTGTAGATACGTCTTCCACCATCTCTCCTTCCGCTTGAGAAAAGTTATTTCCGCCTTCATCAGTATRATCCTCTTGAATGTCAGCATCAGTATCAGCATCTGCAATAGGTACCGACTCAGATACTTGTCCTACGCTGTCTCTGTCATCAGTGTTTTGCTGAAAAGCAGCAGGAGTTAATCCGATATCGCTATCTGAACTACCAGAGTCGTCACTTTCACTCAGATGTTGCTGTTGCCTCTGTCTTGTACGTGGTCGGCGCCGTGGTCTTTGCTGTCGTTGTTGCTGTGTGTTACCAGCGTGGTCTTCTCGCTTGACTTCATAAACAGGTCCCGTCCCTTTGCGACTCACTACCACGTACACTTTGTCTTCCAAGTAGGAACGCAGCTTTCCAGGGCCTCCTCTAGGTGTCAGGTTTCGCACCAGTACACGGTCTCCCTCGCGAAGCTCCGTGAAATTGAGTCGTCGATCGTAACGCTTCTTGCTCTTTACGTTGCTCTCCGTTACGTTCTTACGAGCAATGTCATACGCAGTCTGCATCGTTGTCTTCCAATGTTTGGCAAAAGCACGATGATTAGCTGCACCATTAACGTCACGACCGATTAGAATATCAACTGGAAGCCTTGGTGTCCTGCCGAACAAAAAGAAGAAAGGCGCAAATCCTGTGCTTGAATTGGGTGTACAGTTGTAGGCGTGAACGACTTTATTAAGGTAGTCTTTCCAGTGTGACTTCTTGTCCTCAGGAAGTGTTCGCAGCATCGCTAACAACGTCTGGTTGAAGCGTTCGGTTTGGCCATTACCTTGCTAACAACGTCTGGTTGAAGCGTTCGGTTTGGCCATTACCTTGAGGGTGGTAAGGGGTCGTTCGAGTATGTCTGATACCGCTAAGCTGCTCCAGTTGGGTAAACAGATGGTTCTCAAACTCTTTGCCTTGGTCGTGGAGGATCCTCGCAGGGAAACCGAACCTGGGAATAAACTCATTGAAGATCTTATCTGCCACAGTTCGAGCAGACTTATTCCTTGTAGGGTAAGCCTGGGCAAATCTGGTGAAATGATCCACGATTACCAGGATGTATTCATAGCCTCCTGAGCTCTTTTCTAAGTGTAGAAAGTCAATAGAAATGAGTTCAAAAGGTGATGACGACGTAATATGTTGCATCTGAGCACGTGTTGACTGTTGTGGGCRGCGTTGTTTAAGGCAAGGACAGACGTTCGTTACGAAGTGTGTGATGTGTTGCTGCATACGTGGCCAGTAGAAACGATCGCGCGCCAACTGGATGACACGGTCTGCTCCTAAATGTCCCATCTTCTTTGTACACTAGGGAACGCTTGGAAGCTGGGAGTACTAGTTGTAGGTGGTTTGTGGTATGTCGCCGCAATAATCCGTCAGCTCCCACTTCAAGCTTAGTCCACTCTCTTACAGGATTTGAAGAGATCTCAACACGTGAAGTACGCCATATTGCTGGATTAGGAACTACTGGACTGCAGGCTCATTTAGACACAGGAAGACCAATCAAAACAACATCTGCAGCACTTGAGATTTTATTTTTCATTTGTTTCTTTAATTTTGCATTATTTTA